CTGCTGTGATGAGCTCCTGCTTGGGGTAACCAGGAGAGCCAAAGCAGGGCTGTTAGCGGCTGGTTCTGTGGTGCCCTGAGTGCTGGTAGAGGCTTTGGAGCATCTTCCCAAGGGCTCATGGGCTCCAAGAGCCCGGCTCCGCCACACACAGCACTGGGATGCTGCACCAGGATAACCTGCCCGTGGAAGGATCGAGACTCGCTGGTGATGCTCGGCTGAGAGGTGCCGGTTGCTGCTGTCCTGGTGCTCGGAGCAGAGCCGGTTCAGCCCCCCTGGAAGGCAAAGGGCACCCCTCGAGTCCCCTCTTTTCTCTCCGCAGGGCGCACAAGGTCCCATGGGTCCCTCCGGCCCTGCTGGTGCTCGAGGCATGCCGGTGAGTGATGCCATTGGGGCACCCTGTGAGCGATGTGCGGCACCCTGGGGTGCACTGGGCACCCTGAGCCTGACACCCAAGTCCCTTTCTCCCCTTCCAGGGTCCCCAAGGACCTCGCGGTGACAAGGGAGAGACAGGAGAGGCTGGAGAGAGGGGGCTGAAAGGCCACCGTGGCTTCACCGGCCTGCAGGGTCTTCCTGGACCACCTGTAAGGGATGGTTTAGGGACCCCAGCGCTCAGCACCCTCCACATCTCGCCATGGAGCTGGATGCGGCTCCATCAGGCTGAGCATCCCTCGGTCCTGTAACATCCACCCTCGCTTCTCCTCAGGGTCCTTCTGGAGACCAAGGTGCTGCTGGTCCTGCAGGTCCCTCCGGCCCCAGGGTAAGTCCTGCCCATGGGTTGGGGAGATGAGAGGGAAAGGAGGCACCGGTGTCCTCGAGACCCCCTGGGTCACCTCGCTCCCCATAGACCCTTCCCTGCCTCTTGACCCCCCATTTGGGGCTCTCTCTCAGGGTCCCCCCGGCCCCGTCGGTCCCTCTGGCAAGGACGGCTCCAACGGGATGCCCGGCCCCATCGGTCCCCCCGGTCCCCGCGGTCGAAGCGGCGAACCAGGACCTGCGGTGAGTGGAAGTGGTGCTGGGCGGCAGGGATGGGGCTCGGAGCAGAGCATCACCACGGCACCATCCTCCTCCTGCAGGGTCCCCCTGGGAACCCGGGTCCCCCCGGTCCTCCCGGCCCCCCGGGCACCGGTATCGACATGTCAGCCTTCGCCGGGCTGGGTCAGACGGAGAAGGGCCCCGACCCCATCCGGTACATGCGGGCGGACGAGGCGGGCAGCAACCTGCGGCAGCACGACGTCGAGGTGGACGCCACGCTCAAGGCCCTCAACAACCAGATCGAGAGCATCCGCAGCCCCGAGGGCTCCAAGAAGAACCCAGCCAGGACCTGCCGGGACATCAAGCTTTGCCATCCCGAGTGGAAGAGCGGTAGGAGCCTCCATCCCTGCCTCCTCCCCTCCTGCGCCTCTCCCCAAGCTCTTGCACCCAAGGGGACAGCGAGGTCCACGATGCTCTTTGCTCTGACCTCCCAAACCTCGTGTTCACGCATCGTTTGCCCTCCCTGCTGCAGGAGATTACTGGATCGACCCGAACCAAGGCTGCACCTTGGATGCCATCAAAGTCTTCTGCAACATGGAGACTGGTGAGACCTGCGTCTACCCCAACCCCAGAAGCATCCCCAAGAAGAACTGGTGGACGAGCAAGACCAAAGACAAGAAGCACGTCTGGTTCGCAGAGACCATCAATGGTGGTTTCCATGTAAGTGTTCCACTGGGCTGGTGTTGCACACCGGGAATGGGAAAGGCAATGGATGGGAATGGGAATGGATGTTGAGCAGGGGAAGGTGTTGAGTGTCTGGTTGGAAGGTTGGGATGTCCTTCCTTGGAGCTGTGCTGATGGATGCTACACGAGGGGCTGGCTCTTCTAGGGGACTCTATTGAAAGCATGGAGTTGGGTCAGTTCAGCTCCATCTGGGAATGTAAAGCCTGGAAGTGCCCTCAAAAGGTGGCTGGAATGAGCAACACCCATTGGCTTCAATGTCTTGCCTCTCCCCCCCCCAGTTTAGCTACGGTGACGAAGACCTGGCTCCCAACACCGCCAGCATCCAGATGACCTTCCTGCGCCTCCTGTCCACCGAAGGCTCCCAGAACGTCACGTACCACTGCAAGAACAGCATCGCCTACATGGACGAGGAGACGGGCAACCTGAAGAAAGCCATCCTCATCCAGGGCTCCAACGACGTGGAGATCAGAGCCGAGGGCAACAGCAGGTTCACCTACAGCGTCCTGGAGGACGGCTGCACGGTAAGGCCAGGGCTACCTGCGAGGCAAGGATGCAGGCGATGAGGTGGGGCTCAACGGCTGGGGATGCTCAAGAGCATCTCATCCCTCTCTCGTTTCCCCCCTCTCCCCAGAAACACACTGGCAAATGGGGCAAGACAGTGATCGAGTACCGGTCGCAGAAGACCTCGCGCCTGCCCATTGTGGATATTGCACCTATGGACATTGGTGGAGCGGAGCAGGAGTTCGGTGTGGATATCGGCCCCGTCTGCTTCTTGTAAAGAGAGCTTCGTGGTCCGTTTGGTTTGATCGTTCGGAATTCCAGCCCAATCCCGTGCACCTAAAGAAGAAACGACCGAACCCCAAACTCACCCCGAGGACCCGAGTTCTTCCCCAAACGACTTCTGCACTGAATGGCTGCAACGACCCCCCCCCATGGGCTCACGGCATTCCCGTCGGGAACCACCGCCTCTTCCCAGCGCCGGCTGGAAGCAGAAAGAAACCACGGGCTTATTTATTTATTCTCTTCCCAAGACCTTGCATTGAGGTCAGGGGGGAGGTGGGAATCCGGCCACGTTCGAGGGCCCTTCCCTGCTAAAGGGGTCTCACAAATCCAGGTACCACGAATCCCCTCCCGTCCCTCCGCCCCCGTGTAATGGATGAGAGGACACAAACACGATAACATGGTGCTATTCTTGTACAACAAGTCTGTATTTTTTAACATCAGTTGATATAAAAAAAAAAAAGACAAAAAAAGGTCAAAAAAAAAAAATACTTTTGGTGGAAAACATAAATCCATTGATTTGGTTTTTTTTGTTGGTCTTGGGGGGTTTAAATCCCTTCTCTGCATTTCTCAGCTGTGAGAAAGGAAAGTTTGGGTCAAATCGCCTCATTAAGTGGAAAAAAAACCCTGAGCAATGAATGTCCCCCCAAAAGGGAGAGGAAAATCTGGAGCCAGGCTGAGAGAGCTGGGCTGGGGCAGCCTGGAGAAGAGAAGGCTCCTGAAGGGGAGACCTGAGAGCAGCTCCAGTGCCTGAAGGGGCCCCAGGGAACCCGGAGAGGGGCTTGGGACAAGGGATGGAGGGGTGGGATGAGGAGTTTGGGCTTCCAAGTGGAAGAGGGAAGAGTTAAATGGGATATGGGGAAGAGGTTCTTCCCCAGGAGGGTGGTGGGAGGCTGGAATGGAGAAGCTGGGGCTGCCCCATCCCTGGCAGTGCTCAAGGGCAGGTTGGACACAGGGGCTTGGAGCACCCTGCTCCAGCGGAAGGGGTCCCTGGAGCTGGAGGAGCTTCAAGGTCCCTTCAACCCAAATCCCTCTGGGATTATATGAAATGAGAACCCTTGAAGCACCAGGAGCCACGGCAGCAGCCACAGGTTTGTGTTAAGGGATCTCATTGCTCCCTTAAACAGAACCAGAGCGATGCGAAGCAGGACACCAGTTAAAAGAAACCAGTAAAACCAGTGGGGAGGGGGATGCTGAGACCAATCCTGGTGCAAATCAGTGCAGCCACAGGTGGGGGTGTCTTCTAACCCTCATCCCTATGGAATTTGTCCCGTTTTGCGCCCATCTAAATAGAGTTTCAGGGTGGATTTGCAGCAGGGAAGGCTGGAGATGCTCAGCCATTGCCAGCAGCACTTCGATGGTGTCAGGAGGAGTCCCAGGTGCAAGCTCTTCAGCTTGGCAATGAGAGTGTTCAGGATTCACTTGGGTTTTGCTGCCTCAAAGCAAAGCAGCCCAGTTCCCCTCCACCAGGAGTCAGGAACACCCCAGAGCATCACACATGGGACACTTTGGGTTCCAGGCCAGTGCTTTTGGTTAAAACCCTGGCACTTTGGTGCTGAAGCTTTGCACTAAGAGGAGCGACCACGTTAAAGGGTTTGCCCAAAGCTCTGCTTTGGGGCTGGTTTGAAACCCTCTCAGTTGGCACCAGAGCAGCACCTGAGGCAGCCCAGCAGGGGGGGGAGCTCGGAACGTTGGCAGCAGGAATTCATTACAGGAGATTGGAGGATTAAGGAGGATTTTCGAACCCAAAACAGCCTCTCAAAGGCCAAGTGCTTTGGCCCATGACCCCAGGGTGGCCCCAGCGAGCAGTGCCCTGGCTCAGAGCCTCGAACGCTGAACCAGGGCAAAGCCACGCTCCTGTGGAGCCAAGCAGCAGGTTTTGGGGTCCTGAGCACCCTGAAAGGGCACCCAGCTCCAAGCAACCCCACGCGACAGGACAATGGGGGTTAAGGCCGGGGCTGCAGCTAAAGATGATGACAGGGGTGGCAAGGCAATGCTGGGGAGGAGAAGGTGGCCTCACCCCACAGGGAGACACCAGCTCAGGCTGAGCAGCACCAGGGCACAGAGGAGGAGGAAGCTGAGCAATGGGATGGATAAAAAGCAAAGGCTGTGATTTCCTCTTCCTTAAAACAGAAAAGTTCAACTCATCAGAAAGTGAGGGTTCCTGGAGTCGTGTGAGCAGCGCGTGATGGAGATCACCAGTGCCTGAGGTCATGGAACCCCAAACTGGTTTGGGTTGGAAGGGGGGATCTCCCCAGAGCACAGCCCAGGGGCAGGATCCTCTCCCTGGGCTGCTGCTCACACTCTGGGGGTGCAGCCCAGGATACTGGTGCTGGCTGCAATGGGAAGGGATGGAGGGGCTGCACTGCTCCCTCATTCCCCCCAGTCATTCCCAAGAGAACAGACGATGACTGCAGTCACTAACTCTAGGACAAGGTTTGGTTTCCACAGGAGAAAGGCAGAGCTTTTCCCCCAACAAAGGACGCTGCACAGTCACAAACAGCTCTTTGTAAAGTCCAGCTCCACTTTAATGAGAGAATTCACTTCTAGAAACCTCAGGAGGCAGAAATGCCACTTCCTAGAACAGGCACCGTGTGGTTTGATTTCACATTCCCACCAAATAAAGCATCCTTCACTGAGCACTGCCCTCAGCCCCACCCGGCCTCCGTGTCCTCACACAGGCTCACACCACCTCCCATCTGAAGGACAGGGTTGGTGCAGGCAGGCATCGAATTCCAGAGGAACCACAAAGGGATGAAAGGCCCCAAGCTGCAAACAGCACAGGTTGGGCTGAGCTCGGGGGTTTATCTGCTTTAAGAACACAGCTGATGCCATCCTTCGGGAACAGCCCCTGGAGTGAATGAACCCTTTGGGACACCAAACCCCCCTGAAACCAGTTTAAACCCAGACGTGACTGTGTCAGGCATGAGCACCAAGTGACACTGAGCTGTGGGACCCCAGGGACCCTGCGGCTGCCCAGTGCGGGGAGAGGAAGGTCCAAAGGAGGAGGAGGAGGAAGGTGGAATTCACACAGAGCCTTTCCTAGCCCCACACTTCCTGAGGCACCTCAAGCCAGGTGTTTTGGGGCTGGGTTTGCTGGAGGTGGCAAACACAGAAAGAATGCGTTTCAAAGGTGCCTTTGCCTCCTCCTAGCACAAGTGAGGGAGGTGGAAGCTTTATCTGCACGTTCCTTATGGGAACTATCCCTTTGTTATCAAGGTTTGCTTTGGATCAAGGCAGGGACACACTGCTGCTGAAGAGAAGCAGGATAAATTAATTGCACAGAACTGATTAGCTCACCCTGAGGGATAAGACACAGTGCAAAGCTTTGAGAGCTGCAAAAATCAACTCTAAATCTTTGGGCACATCAGCCCCCAACGCCTGGAAGTCCAGTTTTCCTACCAAAAAACTAGTTCTCCAGAACCAAAAAGGCAGGACCCTGGAGCTGGGAAAACACCCCAAGAGATTCATGGCCCGGCCAGAAGCGCAGCCCAGCTGCCAGTGGAAGAGCATGAAAGGGACACAGAGGGCATCTCCCACCAAAGTCACGTGTGATCGTGATCCCTCTGCTTCCATTGGGAAGCTCCTGGTCCCTTCTAGAAATCCATGTGCACCAGCATCCACCCCAGGCTGCATCCACCGGGCCTCAGGCGGAGGGGGGCAGCAGGAGCAGGTCCTGGCTGGCGGTGAAGTTGGTGCTGCAGTCGACGTAGCGGTACCGCTCCAGAGTGCTCTGCGACACGTGCCCGATGTACGAGAGCTTCACCCACGTCCTGGGGGGGGGAGAGCAATGCCTCTGCCTGAGTAACAGCCCCTGCAGGTTCACACTCATAGAGCCCCAAACAGGGATGGGTTGGGAGGGACCTTAAAGCTCATCCAGCTCCAACCCCCTGCCACGGGCAGGGACACCTTCCATTAGAGCAGGTTGTCCTACTGGAAGGTGTCCCTTGGCCTGTCCCTCCATCCCTTGTCCCAAGCCCCTCTCCAGCTTTCCTGCAGCCCCTTCAGGCACTGGAGCTGCTCTCAGGTCTCCCCTTCAGGAGCCTTCTCTTCTCCAGGCTGACCCAGCCCAGCTCCTTCAGCCTGGCTCCAGAGCAGAGCTGCTCCAGCCCTCACAGCATCTCCGTGGCCTTGCTCCAACAGCTCCATGTCCCTCTGGTGCTGCTGCCCCAGAGCTGGACACTGAACACTCATCACAGCTCCTCTTCCCCCTCGAAAGCTGCAGCTCCCCTCAGTTTCTGTTCCTCAAGGTCTCTCGCTGCAAAGGACAGGCTGGTGAGCACAGGCTCCAGAGCACAACATCCTCATGTGAATGCTCGGTGTGAACCAAGCTGGTGTCTTCCCCTTTCCACCTCACGTTTCACCCAACCGTGTCAAGTGGCCTGGACTAAAAGCTGACACTGAACCAGGCTAGGGGGCTGCCAAGAGGGATTTTCTTTGTGTCCCCTAGATCTGCTGCAGCAGCAATTCCCTTCTGAGTCAGGAGCTGAGCAGAGCACCACGTACCTCATGAAGATCAAGATGTTGTGCACCTTGGCCTTGGGAAACGTGCAAGAGAAACTGGAAGAGAGCAAACCACAGAACCAGGTCAGCGTGGGCTAAGCAGGGCTGCGGAGACACTCGCGTTTCTCAGTGTCTTCTGGGATTCTCCCTTTGGTGCCAACTCAGCTCAAGACCTGGGCCAAGACAAACCCCGCTGCAGCATCCCACAAAGGCCTTCAAGTCATTTCTAGCAAACAGTCACCTTCCAGGAAAGCAGCACAAACCAAGTCATTTCCAGAGCTAACTCTAATGAAAGCACCCTAAACCTGCCCTCCTCCCCAGCTCTGTACAAGGAGCAGTAAATCCTTACTACACATAGGAGAAGGAACCACCCAGCTCCGCCTTCACAGTGAAATTCACCTGTAAAAGAGGAAAGAAAAACACATTCACATGCCTAAATCCAGCCTTTCTGGAGTCTTTCCTACTTGCTGTTGCCTTTATCTGGGGTGCACAAAGCTACTCTGACCATCAGACTACTTTGCCAGGCAAAGCTTTAAGGTATAGATAGACCACCATCATGTTACCTACAGGTTTTAGGCAATAAAAGCATCACCCAATGAAGCAATGAAAGGTGCATACCAGTTTGTCACTCAGCGGCTGGATGCTGGAGACGTTGCTGACCTGCTGGGTCCCCACCACAGTGTTCATGTACTGCACCTGGGTAGTGAGGCTGGTCACTGTCACTGAGTAGAAGTTGGAGTTCCTGATGCGTAAGGTGGCCTGGGTGGAGGGGAAGAGGGGACACAAGTAGCAGGGAGCCTCCTGGCAGCTCAGCAGGGAGTTTATTCCCTTGGGAAGAAACACACAGCAGCAGCTTACCGTGATGGCGAGAATGACGACAGAGTTCTTCTTGTCGAACCAGACCTGAACCACTTTGATCCCGTCATCATCCACCAGGATGGAGTGTGGGAAGAGGAAGAAAACCACCAGCCCCGAGATGAGGAGGCAGAGCAGCACGGACAGCAGGACATAGAGCTTCCTGGAAGAGGCAGGGAAGGGGTCAGCTCCCTCCCCTCAACACCACAGGAGCCTTTGCATCCGAAACCCAACCCAAGCAGCAACCACCACAGGTTTGCTCTTCCCTGGGAGAGCCCCATAAGTGCTGCTCTGGGTTTTTTTGCCACCTGAAATTGCTCAGAGCAGGGTAGTTTTTGGTAATGAGTAACCAAAGATTCAGTTTTGCCCCCACAGCGTTTTCATTCTCCTGGTTTTGCTGCTGGCGAGGCAGCTTCTTTCTACAAGCTCCGGTAACAGGCACAGGACGAAGCGTGTGAATAAGATCACTGTTTCCACACCCACCCCGCAGCGGGATTTCACAGGAAGCATTTCAAATTACGCTTTAAACTGCATCTGTTGGCTTGGATGAAAACAAGCCACTGGCTGAAGGAGAGGCTGCAGAGCAGGTGAAGCACTGAACCACAAAGGAGCCCTGTCTGCTCCTTGCAAAGATGCTGTGGCTCTTTACTGCACACTTACGTTCTTTGGGGACGGAGCCGCTGGTCGCTGTAGGGTATCAGAGCCACCAGCTCATTTACCTGCTCTGGAAGGCAAAAGGAACACGTGAACGATGCCCTGTGTGCTCACGCATCCATAGGGAATGTTTTCTGTTTGCGTGTCAGCCCCTCACGTGTGGGGATGCAGCCGGTGCCCTGGCACGTGGGGCAGGTGATGCTGTCCTGACCCGTGAACTCCACATAGGGGAACTTGGCAATGTCCTCCTTGCGGTCCCGGCTATCGAGCAAGTCCTCCTCCTCCTCCTCAGCCTTCCTCCTCTGCCTCGAGGTGGTGTTGGCAGCAGGGAAGGAAAGCACGGAGCCCATGGCAGCCGCTGCAGGAAACCTGTGACAGGGGCAGCAGGAGCAGCCCTGGTCATTCAATGGCTTTCAGGCCAACAAGGAAACCCTGAGCTATAGAGAACAAACCCCCCACACCCCAACACCCCTTAGAGACACCCCCACAGAGACACCCGCCACAGGGGGCTGAGCTCCACAGCACCCCACACAGCGAGGCCTCGAGGGGGGCTCATTGCCAGCGACCCCCTAGAGACACCCAAGCCCCTCCTGACAGACAGACTCACACCCCCCAGAGCAGAGCCGTGCCCTCTGGGACACCCCCAGCCCCAAAACGAGACGCATGGCCCCCAACACCCCCCTCCCTCACACACAGCCCCTAACAGAGCCCCACAGCCCCTCATGCCCCCCCTCAAAGAGGAATGCTACCCCCAAAGGGGGTATATAGAAGGTATATATCCCCTACAGGGATCTGCCCCCCAACTCCCCATGAGGGACACACCTTTAGGACACCCCCAAGCAGGGGAAAGCCCCAAAACCACCCCTCAAAGGCTGAACACCCCCAATGAAGGAATGATGCCTTCAAACCCCCCCAAAGGCCCTGCTCCCCAACACCCCCAAAACCACCCCTCAAAGGCTGAACACCCCCCCATGAAGGAATGCTGCCTTCAAACCCCCCACAAGGCCCTGCCCCCCCCCACAGACACCCCCAAAACCACCCCTCACAGCCCTAACCCCCCAATGAAGGAATGCTGCCTTCAAACCCCCCCCAAAGGCCCTGCCCCCCAACACCCCCACACAAACACCCCCAAAACCACCCCTCAAAGACTGAACACCCCCCCCATGAAGGAATGCTGCCTTCAAACCCCCCCCAAGGCCCTGCCCCCCAAAACACCCACATGAACACCCCCAAAACCACCCCTCAAAGGCTGAACACCCCCAATGAAGGAATGCTGCCCTCAAACCCCCCCCAAAGGCCCTGCCCCCCCAAACCCCCACACAGACACCCCCAAAACCACTCTTCAAAGGCTGAACACCCCCCATGAAGGAATGCTGCCCTCAAAGCCCCCCAAAGGCCCTGCCCCCCCAAACCCCCACACAGACACCCCCAAAACCACTCTTCAAAGGCTGAACACCCCCCATGAAGGAATGCTGCCCTCAAACCCCCCCCAAGGCCCTGCCCCCCCCCAACAGACACCCCCAAAACCACCCCTCAAAGGCTGAATACCCCCCCATGAAGGAATGCTGCCCTCAACCCCCCCCAAGGCCCTGCCCCCCAAAACACCCACATGAACACCCCCAAAACCACCCCTCAAAGGCTGAACACCCCCAATGAAGGAATGCTGCCCTCAACCCCCCCCAAAGGCCCTGCCCCCCCCCACAGACACCCCCAAAACCACCCCTCAAAGGCTGAACACCCCCCATGAAGGAATGCTGCCCTCAACCCCCCCCAAAGGCCCTGCCCCCCCCCACAGACACCCCCAAACCACCCCTCACATCCCGAACCCCTCAATGAAGGAATGCTGCCTTCAAACCCCCCCCAGAGGCCCTGCCCCCCAAAACCCCACACGGACACCCCCAAACCACCCCTCACATCCCGAACCCCCCAATGAAGGAATGTTCCCCCCTCAAAGCCCGCTACGGACACCCCGAACCCCCCCGGGCCCCCGCGACCCCTCACAGCCTCCACAGCCACTTCCCTCTTCCCGCGCAGGCGCGGTCGCTATGACAACGCTTCAGGCGGCGGTGGGCGGAGCCAAGCCTTACCCACGCCCATTGGCGGCAACACGCAGGGCGGGGCTTGTGGGCGTGGTTTGTATAGACCACGCCCCCTCTGGCGCCCAGCCCAATCACGGTTTTCGTCACCGCGGGGCGGCCCCACCCCCGGAGGGGAAGTGGGCGGGGCTCTGCTACGTCACCCCCCCCCGTGGCGGAAACCCGCGCCAGGGCGTGCCGCGTCTCTCACTGCGCATGCGCATTACGGCAGCGGGGCCCCTCCTCTGGGGGCGTGGTTTGAACCGCGCATGCGCTGCAGCCACGCGGCGGCGTCCCCTCGGCTGTGGGCGGGGTCGGATGAGGGAGGAGACGGACGGGTGCTCTTGCGCATGCGCACTGCAGGGCGCCCCCCCCCCTTCCCGCGCGTGCGCGGAGCGGGTCTGCGCGCGGGAAATGTGCGCGTGCGCAGTGGGAGGAAAGCAGCGGTATTGGCAGCTCTATAGGCGCCGGTATAGGCACCGCTATAGGCACCGCTATAAGTACCACTTATAGGTGCCGCTATAGGCACCGCTTATAGGTACCGCTATAGGTACCGCTATAGACACTGCTATAGGCACCACTATAGGTACCACTTATAGGTACTGATATAGGCACCGCTATAGGCACCGCTATAGGCACCGCTATAAGTACCACTTATAGGTGCCGCTATAGGCACCACTTATAGGTACCGCTATAGGCACTGCTATAGGCACCGCTATAGGTACCACTTATAGGTACTGCTATAGGCACCGCTATAGGCACCACTATAGGTAATGCTTATAGGCACTGCTATAGGCACCGCTATAGGCAATGCTTATAAGTACCACTATAGGCACCAATATAGACAGCGGTATAGATACCGGTATAGACAGCGCTATATGCACCAGTATAGACAGCTCTATAGGCACTGCTATAGGCACCGCTATAGGCACCGCTATAGGCACCAGTGTAGGCACTGCTATATACACCGGTATATGCACCACTATAGGCACCGCTTATAGGTACTGCTCTAGGCACCAGTATAGACGCTGGTATAGGTACCATTATAGACAGCACTATATGCACCGGTATAGGTATTGGTATAGACAGCGCTATAGGCACTGTTATATGCACTGATACGGACAGCAGTATAGACAGCAGTATATGCACCACTACAGGCACCAGTATAGACAGCAGTATAGACAGCCTAGGCACCGGTAAGACAGTACTATAGGTGCCGCTCCAGGCACTGCTATAGGCAGCAGTATGGATACCGGTATATGCACCACTGTGGACACCAGTATAGACACTGATATGAGCACCAGTAAAAGCACCGGTACAGACAGCAGTATAGATACCAGTGTGAGCCCCCCGGTCCCAGTATAAAGCTGTCAGACACCAGTATGAGCCCCCCCGTCCCAGTGCGGAGCCTTCAGACACCAGTGTGAGGGTTTGTGTGTGCTGGTGCAAGGCTGGGTGTCATGGATGGGTGTCATGGTCATGGGCGTCATGAATGGGTGTCATGGATGGGCGTCATGGATGGGCATCATGGATGGGTGTCATGGATGGGTGTCATGGATGGGCGTCATGGATGGGCATCATGGTCATGGGTGTCATGGATGGGCATTATGGATGGGTGTCATGGATGGGGGTCATGGATGGGGGTCATGGGGGTCATGGATGGGTGTCATGGTCATGGGTGTCATGGATGGGTGTCATGGATGGGTGTCATGGATGGGTGTCATGGATGGGCGTCATGGATGGGCATCATGGATGGGTGTCATGGATGGGGGTCATGGATGGGGGTCATGGTCATGGGGGTCATGGATGGGGGTCATGGTCATGGGTGTCATGGATGGGTGTCATGGATGGGTGTCATGGTCATGGGTGTCATGGATGGGTGTCATGGATGGGTGTCATGGTCATGGGGGTCATGGATGGGTGTCATGGATGGGTGTCATGGTCATGGGGGTCATGGATGGGTGTCATGGATGGGTGTCATGGTCATGGGTGTCATGAATGGGTGTCACGGTCATGGGTGTCATGGATGGGTGTCATGGTCATGGATGTCATGGATGGGTGTCATGGTCATGGGTGTCATGAATGGGTGTCATAGTCATGGGGGTCATGGTCATGGGTGTCATGGATGGGGGTCATGGATGGGTGTCATGGTCATGGATGGGTGTCATGGTCATGGGTGTCATGAATGGGTGTCATGGATGGGTGTCATGGATGGGTGTCATGGTCATGGGTGTCATGAATGGGTGTCATGGATGGGGGTCATGGATGGGGGTCATGGATGGGTGTCATGGTCATGGGTGTCATGAATGGGTGTCATGGTCATGGGGGTCATGGTCAGGGGTGCTTATCAAGCGCAGGCCAGGCTGTACGTGCTTGTGCACAGCAACATGCCATGGCGTGAGGCTGTGCCATGACTGTGCGTGCTTGTGCACATACATGTGATGCCGTGCACATGCATGTGATGCCGTGTGAACATATGTGATGCTGTGTGCACATATGTGATGCCTTGCACACGTATGTGATTCTGTGCACACATATGTGATGCCATGCACACGTATGTGATGCCGTGCACACGTATGTGATGCCGTGCACATGTACGTGATGCCATGCACATGTATGTGAAGCCATGCACACCTATGTGAGGCCGTGCACACACGTGTGAGGCCATGCACATGTATGTGATGCCTTGCACATGCCGTGCACATACACATGTATGTGATGTCTTGCACACGTATATGAGGCCATGCACACACGTGTGATGCCTTGCACACATATGTGATGCCGTGCACATGCCGTGCACATACACATGTATGTGATGCCTCACACACATATGTGATGCCATGCACATGCCGTGCACATACATATGTATGTGATGTCTTGTACACGTATGTGATGCCATGCACACACATGTGAGGCCATGCACACACATGTGAGGCCATGCACACACGTGTGATGCCTTGCACACATATGTGATGCCGTGCACATGCCGTGCACATACACATATATGTGATGCCTCACACACATATGTGATGCCATGCACATGCCGTGCACATACATATGTATGTGATGTCTTGTACACGTATGTGATGCCATGCACACACGTGTGATGCCTTGCACACATATGTGATGCCGTGCACATGCCGTGCATACGCACACGTATGTGATGCCTTGCACATGCCGTGCACATACACATGTATGTGATGCCTCGCACACATATGTGATGCCATGCACATGCCGTGCACATACACATGTATGTGATGTCTTGCACACGTATGTGATGCCGTGCACACACGTGTGATGCCTTGCACACGCATGTGATGCCGTGCACACACGTGT